TATGAGCTTTTTGTCTTTGTGGAAGCCTCATGCTGTGTGCATGACATCTCTGGACGCCTGCAAAGTCACCCTATATCTAAGCTAAGATTAGAATTTCAAACAAAACTTATTACGAAGCAGGATTTTCTGAAAGGGCTGGACACAACTATAATGTGGAAAATTCAGATACATGTCTAAGCACATTATTTAATCCTTTTTTAGGTAGGCATAATTGTAAAGTGATATTTACCGTAATATCAGTAACTCTTGTGGGTGAAATGAAACAGCAAGAAGGGAGACGCTTGATGGGCCGTAATAAAATTAGACCCAAACCTGCCATCAGTTCTGTTCATTTTTTGCCTGAAAAGGCTGTGTTCACAGCACTCAGACACTATGTTCCTTACCAAATGGGTTAAGAGACATTTTGGGCGATTTTCCCAGCTATTACTTAAACCTCAGACTTCAATGTGCATGTGGCAACCAAGCAAGTATTTGAAAGGGCAAAGGGGAACATTTTTAGTAGTTGTCACTCTCCAGAGCATATTCATACACTGTAACTCGGGGAAGTGGATGTTGTGCTCAAAATCATGTCTCACCATGTTTAACCAGGAGGAGGGAACAGTTCTGGTGCTCCTGACCTCCACATCCCGGCAGTCGCGGCCCAGCAGGCTTCCTCGAAGCTAATCTGCAGTGTAAGAGAGGAGGAAGGCATCCCCTCCTGCGAGGGGGAAGCCCTGCCGGTATTGAACAGGTAGAGATGGAAAGGCAGGATTTTATGAGCACTTTTCTTCCAATGTAAGACGACGGGGAAAGCCATCAATAACTTTTATTTGGTCACACCTGGGGTTGTGCCAAGATTATTTGTGCGTGTTTGGTTGGACCCCTTCCTACAAAATACCAGGCCTCTGCATGGTGCCCAGTTAAGGGGGAGGAAACCCCCAGGAGGTTGGTGGGGAGCAAGTGGGGCTGAGAGGTCGTAGGGGTCTCTGACAGTACCAGCGCTGGCAGCAGCTTCTGTTCCACCTGACCAGCCTGAGGAAGGTCCCTCCTTGCTCCTGCCTGCCCTCAAAGATGATTTTGAGCCATTTTGCCAGACTAGCTGCTAACCCACGCGCTAACTTTGTGCCACACCATCCCAGTCACTGCCAGCAGAGACGGGGCGAGGAGCACAGCCGTGGCAGCTCCTGTTCCCTCGCACCCCAGCATGGCTGAGGGGCCTTGGCAGAGCGAGGAGGGGCTGAGGCTGAACACAGCCATAGGGGTGGGTTATGCCCTAAGGTGGCAAGTAAATCAGAGTGACATCTCCTGGTGTTTCTGTGTCCCTGTTTATAAAGCTGCTGATTTCAATAATAACCTCAGAGGAAAAGTGTGCAACTGGGCATGTGACACAAGTAAATCTGTGTCCGAAGAAAAATTATGGAATTTCAGGATCTTATGAAAAAGGAAGGGGGCTTCCATGCAGTTCCCAGACTTTTCTTTATTTTTTTGAGATGCAGCTAGCATCCATACTGGGGAGCATCAATCTTGTTTCTAGCCCTAGCATGGAAGAAATATTTCATGAGAGCTAAAAGGGAGAAAGGAGGAGAAAAGGGAGAAGGAAAAGGAGAAGAAATAGGAAAAGAAGAAGGAAAAGAAGAAGGAAAAGGAGAAGGAAAAGGAGAAGGAAAAGGAGAAGGAAAAGGAAGGAAAAGGAGGAGAATGAGAAGAAGGAGAAGGAGAAGGAGAAGGAGAAGGAGAAGGAGAAGGAGAAGGAGAAGGAGAAGGAGAAGGAGAAGGAGAAGAAGAAGGAGAAGGAGAAGGAGAAGGAAAAGAGAAGGAGAAGGAGAAGGAAAAGGAGACCGGAAAAAAAGAGAAGGAAAAGGCAAAAAGAAAATGAACACTTTTGCATGTGTATTAAATCAGTTACTTTCAACAGCTAGACCCATGTGAGATGCACTTTTGGAGGCTGCATCAAACAAAGGAGTCAGCCTCCCAAAGCCAGTCTCTGCCACCCGATTTATAGCAGGGCTCAGCCCATCAAGTGTCACAGCTGACACGAACAACAGCGATCCTGCAGATACCCGCTCAAGTGACTGTCATGCATTTGTACTCAGAGTCTGGTTAGAATCTACAGGTAATGGTTTTAGATCCTGGTTTTTCAGGCTAGAGCTGGTCATCTGCCTGAAGCTGATTCCACACGCCAACGTTTAGCTATTGCCTAACATGACTGGGGCTTAGGGTCTGTCTCTGCTCTGACTGTTGGGCATCTGGTATTAGAGCAGGACAGCGCTAGGAAAGTTTCCAGGAATCACTCATCTATTTAAAGCTGAGCACGTGCATGTGTTCGGCAGGGTGGATATCTTCAGGCTGAGGATTACGCTGCCTGTCAAATGCACCTTCACAATTTTTCCAAGCCTGGATACACTTAAAACCTTCCTGAATGCAGCAGGCCTGTCCAGCGTTTCTTCCTTTCCCCAGTTTACAGAGAGAAGTAAGGTATTAGGTTCTGTATAAATTTTATACTGTATAGGTCATTCACTTGCGTGATACACAGAAGGCTTTAGAAGCCTCCCCACTGCACACATTCCTTGGGCGTGGAGGAGTTAATCAGACACAATGAGATTGCTGCACTTTGCTTCATGAAAACCTAAATTTAGATCTTTTCATAAAGCTGATGTACTGTTTATTCTTCCTACTACAAACCCTAAGACTTCGGAAAAAAAAGCTGCAGCTTCCAGGAATGCAAGTTTCCATTAAACACAAGAGCCAAAACTCTAAACCTCGACCTGTGGGAAAAGGGATGAACTTCTGCGACTTCACCGTTTGGTTTTTTGCAGTCGTGCGTAATTTCTCCTATAGCCATCCCATCTGCAAACACCCAATGAACCTCGTAACGGGCCTGACTCTGTGCCTGGCAAGAGCTGTGGACCATAAAAAGGAACGCCCTTTTTTTTCTCCCCACCCCCCCCCCCCCCCGGCAGAAACAGGTAATTAAGTTTGTCAAAGGCAGCAAGGGCCGAGAGATGCTCGCTTTGGCCCTTCAAACACTCACGCACACGCTTCGGTTTCTGCCAGCAACCTGTCTCGGCTAGACTCGGGGTAAGAAAAGGGCAAAAAGGCACAACTCTGGGCTTACCGGAGGG